AGACCGCAGGTCATTTAGCGTTACCCAGGATGCACCGCGAGGAGGCGAACCTGCTCTACATTCCTCTTTAATCACAAAAAACTATCTCAAATGTTTCGCCTGATATTAAGTAAGTCACAAAACTGATAAGAATTCTTGTTTCCCATTTTGAATATACTGACACTTCACTTATAGAGGTCAGTATAGATATATCGATTGTCGTTTTTTATATTTTGTAAGCAACTCAAATACATAAAAAATAAAATCAATTTGAAATAAATGTCGTAACTATTGTGATTCAAAGTTAACATTTTATTTTAATTTTTATTGGTAACTATGCTTTTTGACTGCGTTACAGAAAATTTAATATTTGTTATCGACATTATATATATATTCATTTAGGTTTTTTATACATACATCTCTAAATAACGAAATGTAACAGCTGATTAGATCTGTTCGTTTTCAATTGAGAGATTTTTGTAACTGTCACGTACTGATTTGCAAAATCGTCACAAGTCACAAAAATTGTCTCTAATTTAAAATCTCAAATTTAGAGACTTGTGACTGTATCAAACTACTGAATTGCGATATAAACGTCCGAAATGGAATATTAAAAAAACTGCAAAATATTTAAATAAGAGTTGTACGTTTGGGAAGAAGTGTCCTGACTATTATAGAGAAATTGTAAGCGGAGAGCTATTGAAGAAACCACTGCTCAGTCTAAGAGAAGCTAAAAAAATTTTGTTTGAAAAGGGATTATATATACATATCTCTAAATACTATACGGGACAGACTTCAGAGAACTGGCATCAAACATTCAAAAGTAAACATTGTTTGGCTAAGAAAAGAACAAACATTTATTCAAAGTAATGTTAAGCAGCTCTAAACTTGTATTTTCATGTATGCTTCTCTGCTCATGGATTTGGAATTTTGAGGTGCTTCCCATAAAACCTAACCGCCATTAGAATGATAAAACTTTATATAGGTAAAAGACTTTAGCAAGAACAGACTGAAAGCAAGAAAACCATTTTGTTACTTTAGATTGGCCATCACAGTCACCAAACGCCAATCCAATAGAGAATAGACACTTTGAAAAACAATAACGTTATATTTTGAACGCACTGAATGATAATGCTAGAGTTGCGAATCATCAATTAATTGAATTAAATTCTTTTTTTTTTGGAAAATGTCATCACATATCACATCATCTTGGATTAAAAATTAGAGTCCAAAACCGGAATTAAAAATAGAAAATTTAAAATCTTGAATTAACCTTGGTTGATACATTAAAAAAAGTAAATAAAATTAAAAATTTAACAATTAAAAAAATATTGACCAAGTAAGGAAGAACTAATTCCGGGTGTAAGGAAGAACTAAGTCCGACTATTTTATACTCACGCAATTTTTAAATACATACAACCATTAGTTTGACATACTTTACATCTAACTAACACAAATACTTATTCCATAATAATTATATTATATTAGTGCCGGGGGAAGGTACACATAGATAGACATCGGATCTATAATTTTCCTTCATTTATTTCAGATATATGATATATAAACTTAACAATATTGGGTATAAGAGGGAAAGTAATTGGAGTCGCGGATACTTACATATAACGGGTTTGCATGTAGCCCGATTTCATTCATATTCAGCTTGTGGTTTGATGATAATATTGACCTAATATACTATTTAAAGTTAACTGGAAAATTGGAAATCACTATGATAAGTATAATATATTTGGGCTAAGATAAGTATTGACTTAGTTATAACCCTTTTTGGACAATCAATTATTTCAGAAAACCGCTCTCTGAATTTCATTAAGATAGCTCAGGTTGAAAAAATACTGTTTTTGGTACGAAATATATATTTTTATTTCATATAATCTCCCTTAACTTTAATACACTTATTGACACAATGATTCACCTATAATGACTTTCCGGAAGCTCTTCAAAATACCTGTCTACGGCTGTAATAGCTCTTTATTCGACGAAAAACGCTTTCCACGTAGGAATTGTTTCAGGTTTTTAAAGAGGTAGTAGCCGCTGGGAGCCAAATCTGGTGAATACAGTGGATGCTCAAGTACTTCGTACTTTAATTCGTTGTATTTTTTCAAAAAATTCTTTTTTTCTCTTTGTGAGCCGGTGCATTGTCTTAATGAAAAAGTATTCAGAGTTAATTGTTTTAGCTTTCAGCAGATAATCAATCAACAAAATTCCTTTTGCATCCCAAAAAACTTCTTGTTTCAATTTAAGATCATGGTGGTAGATCCATAGTTATAAATTCCATTATATTCTGCTTAAAACGCTCCAAATTATGTTAAGAAATTTGTTTTCGATCCAGTTTTTGTTGAATTGTTAACGTGTGCGTTCATATGTAATTCTCCATGTAAAATATGAAGTACTCGTTCGTCTGAGTTAGTCAAACTTGGATCTTCACTAACAATATTATGAACTGGCTCAATTATTTCTAGTGTGATTGCGATTTTTGGTTGTCCTTCACGTGGAACGTTTACGTTTAACATTGATAGTATGACCACGGTTAAATTCACCAGCCCAAAATTCAGCGGTGCGTTTGGTAGGTGAGGACTCCTTATTTATTTATTTATTTATTTATTTATTTATTTATCCCAGGATACAAAGTACATATTACATATAAAGTATGCACCTATAGAGTTGTTACAAAACACCTGTACATAGGCCTGGTAATATTAGTTTATTATAATTACGTACTAATGTATTAATAACAAATGTCATTTATAATAGAAAAACAAAAGAAAACATAGTATTTTTAAACATCAGTGTCTACAATCCACTTATACACTTTTAACAAATTCTCATAAATTTAATTTGCTTTTAAACCGTTGAAAACAAAGAATCTCATCACTGCGCGATATTCAATTTCTTCCATATTAAAAAAATACTCTGATATGTCAACTTCAAATGGCTTGCAAACAAAGAAATAATTGACAAATTGACTTGTAACTTTGCATGTGTTCTCAGAGAGAAACATTTCAACCAACCTGCACATTGTACAAGTATTTACTCGTAGCAAAGTTAATGAAACTCGAATATAAAAGACCGGTTTAATGCTTCCCCCAAAGCACCCCGCTCCAATTCACGCTGCCTTTTCGAAAGTAGTATCGCACCAAGGTAAATATTTTCTGGTTTCTGTTTCTGTTAAACCACCCGATACGATGGCAGAGAGAAGTTAAATAGGTGTAACATTACATTTTTGAGGCGGCGTAAATATTATATACAAAGCTGCAGTCTTGCTACAAAGGATTTAAAATTGAGGCACACCGCAGACAAAATTGCAGGGAGGATGTAGAAAAAAACAAAATACGCTGTATTGTAACTGATAATGGGGAAAACATAGTAAATGCTGCAGTTTCTTTGGTTGGAAAATCTGGCCATTTACCATGTTTTGCTCACACTCTAAACTTAACTGTGGAAACTTGTTAAAATTAAATGAAATATTTTCTAAAGTAAGGGCTATTGTTTTATGGATAACACTCTACTTAATTGCTCACACTCTAAACTTAATTGTGGAAACTTTTTAAAATTAAATGAAGTTAAAGATGTATTTTCTAAAGTAGAGCTATTGTTTTATGGATAAGAAATATTGTCATCAATTCGGATAGATGTCGACGCGAAGAGATCGAATCAGGCGTTGCTGCAGGTGCAACAAAAAGGCAGATGATTTTGTTTACCTCTAATGGATCCGAAATGCTTTCGGGTAGTGAGATTGATGCAACTAAACAAATAATAGTTATACTAAAACCTTTCGAATTTGCAACCCGGAAACTCCTGCTGAAAAGTATGTTACGTTGACAAAAATCATTCTAACTATTAATTGTATGTATACTCAAATTAAGGACACGAAAAGTTTAATACTAGCTATTTCAGTTATGATAAAACAACCTTATTTAAATTCAAAAACGTTTTGGTCAAGTTGAGTACCATAGTAGTATTGCAATGGCTACCATACTTGATCTCAGATTCAAGCGTGTATATTTCACTACTGGCCTGTGCTAGGAGTATTCAAAGGCTGAGAGATCTTGTAAAAAGGAATCAAAAAGTAGTAGTGATTCGAATGATTATAATAAGGTATTTTATGATTTTTGGAAACATCACCGCGAACTTATTTAAAAAAACAGAAGCAAAAAGAAAATATGGACGAAGTTTTTAATATTTTAATTTTTTTCTTTGAAAATAAGTTGAAATTTAAAGCTGAGAAAGTACTTTCAAGTACAAGGTATCATCCTACATACAGTACTTTGCATAGCATCGAGTACTATCTCCGATACTTTAAAATGAGTATTAGCTTAGCATCAGGTACATAGTGGTATCGGAACATCACTAGTTATTGGTATAAAATGCGAGAGCAGTCCAAGTTGCGAGAGTTGAAATGAACATACTTAATTATTTTTAACTGCTAATATTTTACAAATTTAAAATGAGCATTTATAAATTATTAGTTTGATATACGGAATTTGACAGAATTCGGTTATTTGTTTTTCAATGTCCTCTATTACAGGAAACGCTATTAAAATAATTTCAACAATGACGTCTTTTGGCCTAAAGAATTCGCGCTGAACTTGGTTCAAATATTGTTAAAAATTGTCATGGATGTAGAATTTCAGTTATTTGTCTTCATTTTGAACGTCATCATTGGGTAAAAGCTCACACCTCCATGTTTTCAATAGACAGTCCTTTAAGGATATTCACTAGTGTTTTCAAACACCCCTCTTTAACTGTTTGCTAATTCCTGCTCTCGTAGTCACTGTTTGCAAGCAGTTGGATTATCGGCCACAGAACGTTTATTAGTCCTTCGGTCAGCGTTCCCTTCTACCGGGATAAAACTGTTCTACGAACCTTTTGGTTAATAATTTTGTTAACAACCAACTATTATTATATAATATATCTTAAAATTTGTGTCATCTTAACTGTAACAGAGCATAAAAATTATTGCATAAAAATATTTGGAATAAAACTAACAAATTCTCTTTTTCTAGTGTCAGTCACGGAATTAAATAATATAAAAAGTACAGCAGTTCCTGAGGACAAGTCTGCAGAGAAAATAGAAAAAAATAGTGAAGTGTTTAGAAGATGTATAATATTTTAACTAATTTCTTATAACTTGTTAGCATTAATAACCAAGACGGAAGACTACATCGAAATTTTTTACTTTTGACTTATAGCTGTAAAACAATAAATAAACACTATTAAAGGAAAGTACGATACTGTTCTTGCTATGCTACCGCCTACCAAAAAATCGGGTTTTCATCCCCGACCTCACGCCTTTGGTAATTTTATATCCTCAAAGAAATCTGAATAGAATTATACAAAACATGTAAATTATAAAGTCTAATGTTATTAAGTAGTAAAAATTATCTAATATATTTTATTATTTATTCTATTCAAAGAAAATCGTGCAAAAATTATTAAAGAAAAATTAATAAAGAAAAATAAAATAAAAATACAGAATTTTGCTTTGGTTGGTTGAAAAGGGACCGCAATCGGCCGCTCTAAGGACATCATTAGGCGCCTTGTGGTCTCGGGTGATAACCAATTTAATTTGAAGCATTACCCTTTAAATTTTGTGAAGGTGGGATATTAAGGGTAGGTCCCCTGTGATGACCATTACAATATTACTAAGTTCCTTTTTGTAGAAGCTAGAAGTAGAAGCTTTTAGGTCTGTCCACCATCAACACTACTCCACAGTATCTTTGTGGTTTGCCCCGTGTTGCTATTGTACTAAGACCTGAGGTGTTCCTCTAGGGTCCATTGCCTCAAATAACCCTTAATAACTTGAAGGAGCTGAATGGTCTAGGACAGCTTATTGGAATTGTGTACCCAGATAATATTATCAGAGTTACCCACTGAGAGTCTGGTAATTGCCTGCTTGCATAACCTAACGCAGTGAGACTTAGTATTGACGCTATGAAGGCTTGGCTGTCCACTAGAAATTTTATGATCATGTTGGTTAGAACATAAGCCCACTTGACCTCTTCTGCTATGCCAAGAATTTCGGCCTGAAAGACTGAATTATAGTCATTTAGTTTGAAGCTACCTTCCTACCTCCAGGACCATTGCATTTGTTCTAGGGGATTATTTCACCACTTTTTCGATAATGTCATCCACCACACCACTGCGCCGTATGTAAGTTTGGGACGGATGACACTTGTGTTGGCCCAATAGAACATGTATGGTCGTAAGCCGACAGTTAGGACGGGACTTTCCGCCAAGTTGGCGAAGATGTCAAGGGCCGTTTCTATGAGCCGGGAGAGGCAATTAAAATTCATCCCTGAAGAAGTTTTATCTGTCGAGTATTAATTCATGAATCAAAGTGACCCAAAAGATATCTCTTTCCGAGGTGCCTCAAGTGATCTGGTGAGCGACTTTTATATCTTCCCCTTGTCTATTGCTTAACATATAATATGAGGTAACCAGACCAGCAGGTTCTAATTAATGTCAAAAGAAGCGATAGCCGATATCAGTGTAGCCGTACAAGCGTTGTTGAATGCACCTTCCACGTCAATTAATACTGTTGGTGTGAATTCTCCTTTTTGGATTGTTCTAACTACTTCATGTAGAGAGATATCAACCGATTTCCCTTTGACGTACGCGTGCTGCCTGAATTCCACACGGCTGGGTGGGATTTGTCGTTTGATTAGATTGTAGCAGATCCTTTCCTTAGTTTTTAATACAAAGAATGTTAAACTGACGGTCTGTAAGATTTTGGCTATGAGTAGTTTTCCTTCACCGGTTTTGATATGAAAATAATTTTGGCATCTTGCCACATACTTGTACGTTAAACGAACACAGACATTGTGTATACTGGCAACATGGTGAGACAGTAGATTTGTACCATTCTGTAGTAATCCGTACCGGCTACTTTGAAAGGTTTGAAACTGCTGAACGCTTTAATAACCATTTATGGGGATAACACGAGACCGTCATTCTTCCTGAGTGGTATGACAGGTTGGAAATATCTCGCGTCGGACCGTGGGAATTTATTATCTAGTATTGTTTTTCTTGAATATTCCGTGTTGAGTGCCCGGCAACCTTGGCTGTCAACCATTAGTGAGAAAGTTGTCTTTCGATAATTTTTTTTTAGTTTTGCCGTTCCACTTACGCAGGGTGTACGGACGCTAAAATCTCCAATCTGTAGGAGGTAGCGTAGAGTACGTCTCTAATGGCATCATAACAAAGCACAAAATACTTTGAGCAATCAACGCCTTCGAACCGTTTAAATTTCCATAGCTGATCACAATATATGAAGGATGTTTTAGGCTTAATCACGTACATATCCTTTGGAGTGAGGCGGGGGTCGTATCATACCGAAAGCGGGCAAAGAAATTCCCCTTTATTCAAAAGAATATAGATTAATAAGTCTAACCTCATTCCTTCTGAAGACATGTCAAAAAATTCTAGATGTCGACTTAGAGAAAAGCCCTAATAGGCTAACATATCGAAAGGACATCACGCATATATGAAAGGTAGATCAACGGACACTGTACTTCACTCGTTAACCCTAAATAAGGAAAAAGCTCTAGAGCTTAAGGAATATGTTCTGGGCGTCTAGTCTTTACTAGTGACGGGAATTTTCCTAGACACAATCAGTAACGTGATGCGCTTTATTTGGGAGAGAAGATTCCAGGTCACAATAAATGAGAGTAAACAGAATACAGAAATCATTAAAAACGATATACCATTGTATATAAATTTCCGAAAGTGCTGACAGGCGAATCAGTGCGAGATAGAATGCAGGAGCGTCATGATAATATGCAAGAGCCCAAAGGGAAAATTCGCATGCTTGATACTTACACGGTCTCGGAACAACTACCGGATGCTTGTTGGCCTCTTGACAGGTCACACCCTACTCGCATTACATGCAAGCCGGATAGGTTTAAGTAACAACGATACATGCAAAAATTGCATAGAGATAGGCATCAGCGAGACGCTGGCACACCTCCTATGCCTCTGTCCAGCACTATCTAGAACTCCCCTAAAGTATCTAGAAGCTTCGCAGTTCAAAGGCCTAGACGAAGTATCAAACCAAGAAGGTGGCAACAGAAGGTGGCAACACTTCAAGCTTTAATTTTTTTGCTGTGAACTATTGTGTTTAATTTTACAAAATTCTTAAACTTCTATTGATTTTTTAGTGATTTACTTGTAATTCAATTTTTAGTGATTTAACTCTGAGTTGCAAGCTTAGTATTAAAGGTTTTGTGCATTATTAAAAAATTAAAATTTTCGAATTTTTGGTGCCGAGTCAGCTTTTTGTTTCATTTTGTTTTATTTTATTCTATATTCTCTCTTTATTTACCTCATTTACTTCTTAATTCACAGCTATGTTGCGTGTAGCTTTTTATTTGTTCCAGTGCATCTAAAACTGCTCGCTATATTGCTTTTTCAAACTGTCTTGGTTTTGAACTTTGATGAAAAAAAAAAAATTCTATTATTTTTGCGTTTGTTCTTAAATATTATTATTATTAATATTTTATTAACACACTAATTTATTCTACATCCATTAAATTTTCTTTTACTTACTCTTTAATTTGATGATTTGTAACTTCCCCAATTGTAACATTAAAGGCGAGTCAGATCGCTATGTTTCATGCTAGCTTTGTGATGCTTGATTCTATTCTCGACTATAAAGGATTGCGTTGGTCCTGTTTAAATTGTAGATCTATGGAAATCGATATATTTAAAGTTTATAGGGAGACACGCAATGGCTTTAACGAAATCGGTCGAGATCTTGTAACCCTCACTGAAAAATTTAGGCACTACGAAAAATTGTTCTCATCTTTTAAATGCCTGAATGATTCTCATGAATCCTCCAAACCTGCTCCTAAGCGTAAACGTCCTTCCGATGAAGTAACACTTAGTTCTTCTGTACAGAAAAGAACGTCTCCGCCCAATGACCTAATAAATCTCTCTTCTCCTTGCCTTCAAGGTGATAAGCCGTCAACTTCCAAAAAGCTCAATTCCCCAAAAGCTCTATCTAATAGTAATAAGTGTCTCACAATTCCAGAGGCTTCCCTAATAACTTAGTAACATCCATTAAAAATTTGGTAGTTATTCCACCTAAAAAGTCTATATTTATTTCTAGACTTGCCAAAGATACATTGGTGGAGGACATTAAGTCTTACATTTTGTCACGTTTAAAAATTTATGATATCAATATCCGTAAATTTAACTTCAATTATGATAGAAGTATATCATCGTTTAAAATAGACGTATCTCTTGAAACATTCAAAAAGATCTTAGATAGTTCATTCTGGCTGGCCAAATGAGTTAAGATTCCCGCCCCGCAGAACTCAAACACACCACACAATGCAACACTGGCACACCCACCACACCTGGAAACCGCAGAACATCCACATACCACACACAACTCATCATACTGCCGCACACATACACACACCGACTAGGATCTCTACACAACACACAGTACAAAAATATCTGTTCTCGAAGCGGGCGGCCCTTCTCTCAGCGACTGTCGCTGCTGACCAGCAAACACCGAGCTTTCCTTTGGCGCGTAACCTCATTTTCTTGGCGCGTTTTATTTTATCATCGATAAATTTTATTTTAATTACCTCTCCACTGGTATGCGACCAGGGAGTGATTGCGTCCAGATAAGCTTTTTATAATTATTCATATTCATAAACCATTTGTGAACATTTTCGAAACGAAAAACCTTCAACTTTACTTTAATTTGCAAACGCGGAGTTTAAAGTGGCAAGTAAGTGGTGCGCTTAAATTGGTCCTTCGAGCCATTCAGAATGGCACTATTGTGAAAAATTAATAACAAGTAAGGGCTGTTCGGATGTAACGAACATTTTATACTCGCAATGTCAAATGGTATCGTTTGAGATTTTGTGGATTGGCTGATATTTTGGTAGAAGGTCAACTATAAGCACTGGGGTCTAATATTTAGTACTTAGAGCCTTGAACAGTTTTGGTGCGATTTAGAAATTTTGGTCAAAGTTTTACCCGATATAATCGTTGTGCTTGATATGCATAGTGGAAAGTGAAAGAATCAGATGGAATTGAAAATGGTGTTATATGGGAA